CCTCCACTGCCCCCGCCCGCCGAGGCGCCGGCCTCCACTGCCCACGCCCGCCGAGGCGCCACCCTCCACTGCCCCCTGCCCACTGAGGCTCCAGGCTCTACTGCCCCTCGCCTGCCGAGGTACTGGGCTCCACTGCCCCCCACCTGCCGAGGCGCCAGCCCCCTCTGCCCCCCACCTGCCAAGGCGCCGGCCCCCTCTGCCCTGCCTGCCAAAGTCTGGGTGCTGTGCTTGGTTTTGCCCTCAAAGTGTCCTCTCAGTAGAAATACGGACTTTCTGTCTCTGGCACGCCTGTCACTTGATAGCTGTAAAATGGAGACGGGACTTTGCACTGTTTCCAGTTATGGCTGGATGTGATTCCAGCTGTGAGGTGGGTGGCCGTGTCCCCAGGGCTGGCTTGCAGTGTCTGCCTGGGCAGCGTCTGAGGAGTGTGGTCACTGATCTCCATAAGTCCAGCGTGAGTCCCAGCTGCTTCCGCCAAGAAAACTCACACTCAGCCTCACCCCTCGTGTGCGTTCTGAGTTACTTGTCGTAATAAAGATCTTTAAAACGTCACTGGCAGACTCAGTGCAACACGAAAGGTACTCCCTCCACTAGTTTTGATGAAATTAATTTTGTCTGGAGATTGAATTTTCTGGAACAAGCCACCCTTGTTCCCTAGAGTGTCCCGTTACTTATTCTAGTGCCTTTTCATTTTGTTGGAGATGTTAGTCGAAGCCGCTGCCATGCTGGGGGAGTGTGTCCGCCAGCCCTTAATCATCAGTTGCAAATAGCAGGCATCATTCCGTGGGATTAGGAAAGAAATCTCTGCAGAGCCCTAAAGAACCAGCTGGCGGCTTCCCTTCTGTGCTTCAGGGTAGTCTACTGCAGCGAGCTCGTGTTCCCCGCCGGGGCTTTGGAGACATGGCGCTGCCTTTGCAGACTGGTGCTGGGGGTGGGCTTGGGGAGGGGCTGGGCAAGGGAGCCCCAGGGCAGGGGGCTTTCTGTAACGCAGCCTAAGTCCCTGATGCTGGGCTAGGCTCCAGCATCGGAGCCTTGTGCTCGGACGGCACTGAAAACAGTGACAGAAGACTGGGGACCTTGGAGGGGCCAGAGAGGGCCCGTTGTCTTTCTGCAACCACGGCACCACTTGGGACTCCCTCCCCTCTCCTTCCACAAAAGGATGGTTGGTCTGGGTGATGCTTTTCTCCCACAGGACAGGGAGTGCTGACTGCTGGCTGTGCCCCCCAGCCCCTTCTTCTGAGCATGGTTTATAGGAACCATCTGGAATCACAACCGAGAGCCCTGTTCCTGATGTTTGGTCTTGTGCCCCACCTCAGGGTGTGGCTGTGCGTGGCTCTGCCATCCTGCCCTGTGGGCCATGACTGTGCATGGCGCTGCCGTCCTGCATGTTGACCTCGCCTTTCTGTTCCAAAGCCTGCGTATCCCGTGGTGCTCGCTGCAGACATTACCGCTCACCTCTAGAGCAGCATCCGAGCCCCCTCTTTGTTTTTGCTTTTCCATGTACATGGCAGCTGTAGAATTTCTGGCCAGTAGCCTTTGCTGGGATGTAAAGCCTTAAAACCCTGGACGAACTGGTTCAAGCAGCCATCAGTCTGATGCTATTGCCTGGTTTATGTTGCATTACAGAAAGCAAATTTTAATATCCTGTAAATTACAAACACTCCTTCTCATGATTGGTTAGACTGCTCAAGACCCAGGCCCCGTATTAAACACAGAGCTCCCCGTAACACTGTCCCCATTAAGGATAAATTAGGTGTTGAGTTGAGTGCATTTTGAGGAGCCGGAAAATGGATCTGCTTGTTGCTGGCCTGCACCACTTCGCTAAAACTCCTAATAGGTATTAAAACTTTAAGTACAATTGCGGCATCTTTATTGAGTTAATTTTCCCAAAATTAAATTTTGTCATGAATTGACTCATTTGCACCTCGGACTCATTCCTGAACTGATAGTACCCTGTCCATAAACCTCTTCGTATCTCAAAAATGGGGGGTATTTCTATTTTACAGAGTCAAGTAACCATGAAATTGTATTGCATCTTTTGGCAATGAAAATGCGTAGTAATCGTAGGATGGCAATAGGTGATTACTCTTCCCTAAACCAGAGTCTTTATTAGCGGGGCCATTACTTGTTCCAGTAACTCCTTATCCCCTTGCAAGTTAGCTTAAAACCCTCTTGGGACATGTGTCAACAATCCGCATGGCCCTGCCCCAGGCCTAGAATGAGGCGGGGCACCAAAACAAAGGGGATGCTTTGTCTCGGCATGAAATCCCAGAAGCACCCCCAAAGGAGAGGGGGACAGGCCCTGCTCTCGAGCGGCCTTGTAGAGACGCGTACTAGGTGTTGGGCACCTCATGGGCAGGGCATGGCGGGTGGTTCTGCCTCCCAGGAAACGCTCAGCCTGTGAGACCTAGCTGCAGAGCCGTCCCTCAAACGCCCACGCCAGCCCTGTCTTTGCCCCGTCCCTGCCTGTAGGAGGGCACATTTCCCGCCCTGAGCTGACTGTGCTACCTTGAAGGAGACGGAAGTCCCTAGGCCTGCTGTGTGTGTTACTGGCCCGCACCGGAGAGTCGAGTGGACCACTGCCTCCGTTCAGTGTCCCCAGGGAATCCAGATACATTTGGGAATCAGCTTGTCTGTTGTTGTTAGGTGCCATTGAGTCGGTTCAGACCCGTAGTGACCCCATGTACCACAGAACGAAGCACTGCCTGGTCCTGCGCCATCCTCACAATCGTTGCTGTGCTTGAGCCCATTGTTGCAGCCACTGTGTCAGTCCGTCTCGTTGAGGGTCTTCCTCTTTCCTGCTGACCTTCTACTTTACCAAGCAGGATGTGCATGTATGTGGGTGTATGTGCGTGTTACATGGGTGTACGTGTGTGCATGTGGGTGTACATGCACGTACGTGTGTGTACATGGGTGTATGCATGTGTACATGTGTGTACATATGTGTATGTGGGTGTACATGCATTTTTGTGGGTGTACGTGCATGTGTGTGGGTGTACATGGGTGTATGTGGGTGTATGTGCGTGTTACATGGGTGTACATCTGTGTACACGTATGTATGTGTGCCCACGACCTCTCCTTCAGAGGAAGGCTTCCAAACAGAAGGCCCTTTTCAGCACACTAATGAACTCAGGAGCTGGACGCTAGACTGGTTCCAACAAGTGGGGTTCAGGTGGAGCTGGGTCCCTGCAGCTTTGGTGTGGGTCACCTGAGCTGGCACATCCGAGAACAACTTGGGGCTCTGCCGTGGACTGGTCCCCAACCCCTCACTGTCATCTATACACCACCGGCAGCACCAGGCTCTCTGGCCATGTAGAAGGGGTTCTGCGCTGCATTTGTGCTGTGAGCGGACGGCAGCCGCACTGAGTGCTGTGCTGTCCACCCTCTTAGGGGGTCCTGCGTGGCCTGCTGTGTCCCTCGCTGTGGGCCCAGGCACACCCACAGTGACTGGCCGCGGGAGGTGCCCAGGGCAGCCCACTGAGCAAATGTAGAGCTGGGAACGGCAGGGGCCCCCATCCTGCACATGAGAGCAGAGGACTGAAGGTTTGGCCGGGGGGAGAGCAGCCGGAGATGCACGTGCCTTCCCACCCCTCCGTCTGAAGGCTCTGGATTGGGACTGGAGGCTCCAGATGCAGAACTGGGGTCTGCAGGCAGAAATCACAGGGCTTGACAGTCAGAATGTAATTGCTGTGACAGGGCGAGGTTCTCCCTGAGGGGGTGTCCCCCCACTTGGCCAAGTCTCCGTTGAACAGGAGTCAGAGTGTCCAGCCTGAGTCGATGGTCTCCAAGGACCCTGTCAGCCTGAACCTGGATCAAGATTCCTGACCACGGGCAGTGTGGGCAGCCGGTTGGGCCACTGGGCATACAGGCTGCCCTGGGGCTTGTTCTGTGGGAGCTGGAGGTCACACTGGGGTAACGCGGGAGGTCACACTGGGGTAACGCGGGAGGTCACACTGGGGTAACACGGGAGGTCACGCTGAGGGTAGCGCTGGAGGTCATGCTGAGGGTAGCGCTGGAGGTCACGCTGGGGTAACGCTGGAGGTCACGCTGAGGGTAGCGCTGTGTCACGTTTTTACTAAGCTCTGAAACAGTGTATTCACGGACATTTTATCTGTGATCTGACCTTGAGCCCCTCCTCTGACTTCCTTAGGCCTCTGGACAGAGGTCAAGACCTTTCCCGAGGGAATCCGGACTCCTCCTGAGACACCAGGGGGCTTGGCCTCCTTCCCTGAGGACAGGGATCCCCTGAGGGCAGAGGGGAGGATGGGGTAGCAGGCCATGCGAGCCCCTCGCCCCGCAGCAGAGGTCTCTGCGCTCCGAGGCAGCCCTGCCCCTGGGAAACACGCGTCACCTGGTGGGTCACAGACAGGGTGAGGGAGGGAAGGGGACATGCAGAGAATGTTCACGAAGCCTGCATGTTAGTAAGAAAGTGCACTTCCAGGGGAGTTACTAAATCATGTCTTCACGGCCGTGGTCCTAAAAAGTGGGACACAGCGGTGTGTTGAGAACTTGGATAAGAAGCACAGCCTTCACGGAGCCCCCGGCCCTTTGGCCAGGATGTTGGCTCTTTGCTGGCCTTGGTTACAGCACAGTGTGGGAGCAGCCTCCTCTGGGCCCCCCGGTGGGTGTGTTGCAGGGGACTCATTGTTCGGACCAGGGAGGCTGGATGAGGGGTGGGCGACAAATTGTTAGCACTTA